ACGAAGACGCTTTTATAGCAGTCCTGCGGATCCCTAGTCTGTAATTCAAATCTGGTGACAGTTTACTAGCAGATACCTAATCTTGAAACATCTTTGTGTTACCTATACAAACCGGAAATACAAACGTACAAGAGGATGTGTTCGAGACCACGCTACTTTTCATTTCTATCGCGCTTTTGTAAAAATTCTAGGTCATCGTGATTAGATGAGCATCGACAGAAGGATCGATTTATTTGATTGTTCGATTCCACGATGATTGCTGTTCCCAAAGTATGAGTGACTTTTTTCTGCTTGAATTTGAGGCATTATTTCGATCTAGGTCAATGGAAAAGGCGTATGATCATCAAGGAGATGAGTATGAGATTGTGATAAAAATAAATCTTACGTCTAACAGGTTAATGATTGCGAAAAATGGTGTTGGCGACGTGAGAAATTTTCGTGGTGACATGTATTTGATTCTATAACTGGTGAGATGGAAGCTAAGTTGGGCATTTTAGTTTTCTACAATCGCAATGTTGTCTATTTTCTTGTAGAAATTTTCAAAGAAAGAAGAATATAATTGATGATGCCTTTGTGTATCAAATATCTGTTGCAAGTGTGGGAAATTGTGTGTCGGAGCAACCGAGCAAAAGGAAAATAAGAAAAGTACGCAGTCTTCTATGGTATATAGAGGGCCCGTCTACAGATGAATGAAGCAGTGACTGCTCAACTTTAAGATACTTCAGGAGACTTCAGCAGACTTCAAGAATTAATGAGATTTCAAAAACTGAAATCATTGTTATTTTTTCTTCGGCCTACAGCCTCCGTTTTTGCCCGTTTATAAACGAACAACAACGGTCGTGATAAAGTTGTTGAGAAAACGGTGTAAAACAGTGGCATTTACAGCCCTTTTAATTAATTTAGGAGTGTTGCAGTGTCGCTAACAGCACCATAAACGACAATGTAGTCAGTCTTTTTGATAGATACGAAGATCTTAGCCTAGCTCTCTGAGGCTACATTAGGAAGTGGGCCTATCCAACGCGAGCAATTCAGTTTGCTAGAAAAATAATGTTGAACGCAATTCAATTCATCAATTGAATTGAATTACTTAATTTTGGATATATCAATATTCCATTTGCACATTTCGTGATCAGGAGAATGAAAAACTGAATGTGCAAACACAAAGTAGAGTCATTTTATAGTTTACTTGATGGGTCTGGTAAAGGTGGGCATATGTTTTGTGGTATCCTTGACAATGGGTAGCACACAGGACGCTTATGACAATCTGTATGATTCACACAAATATGCGCGGGTTCGTAACATGCATTGTTTTGGGAACCACACAAAACCAGTTGAGAGCATGGAATACTTCGAGGAGCACACACACCACTACCATAGTCAGGTATGAAGTGCAAACAGCCACACGCACGATTCGTTGAACATTTTTGATTCTGAGGTAAGTTATAGCAAGATTCGTATGTAGCACATCCTGATTTTAAAAAAGCGTTAGTTATTCAAATATAGATCCAGAAGCATACCCGTGATACTAAAACGAGAAAATACCGCGGAAATAACGAAAAGTTGAAGAAAAAGACATTCTTTCTAATTACATAATGGATGCGACCAGTAAATCAAGTAGCAGCATCGTTAGCATTGAAATAACTGACTACATGAAGGCAGATTGCCATCAATACGATTCCTATCACACCGTGTGTTCTCTTTCTCATGTATATCAGTCGGAATATTGTTGTCGGTGTATGTGAAAAACATACGGGACTCATTGAGTGATTCGTTGGCCTAAAATCGTAGCAGAACGAACGATTATTGTTGCCAAAAATGTTAAAATGAATCGAGAAAATCAGTTGAGTGGTCCTGTATGTTTGATATTCGATCGATATAGCAATCTCTATGGTGTCAATCGAGACAACGATCGAGTTTAGCGATCTTCAATACAAGTGGGCTCATGCGGTTTGATCAAGCAAACCTCAGTGCGGGTGTGAGTGTAAAGCGGGATCTGGATGGGATCTGGATGAGATGTGGATGGGGTGTGTGTGATGTTGGTGGGATCTGGGTGGGATGTGCATGGGATGTCAGTTTGGGCACGGAGCAAGGCAAAACCAGTAGACTCACATTTATTCACCCATCAGTAATGCCAAACTTAGAATATGAAGTCAATTGAAAGAATTCTCTGCAATTTTGGAGTGCAATTAGACTTTCAAAGTCTCTTCGTGATACTCACACTGAGCGAGACGCTCTCTAACGGTGAGTCCTTTCGCGCATATGCTGTAGAGTCTGATTTTCCGGGAAAAATAAATTTGTGGCAAATTAAATATCTAACGATGTTTCTAGAATAGTGGTGTGGTGGCATGGGCGTGGATATGCTCTCATTCCAACATAGCGCTATACCACTAAATGTTATAACACTATACCGCTTATACCAGTATACTACTGTACAGCTTCTTTTAGTTGTATCTCTGATTTGGTCTGTGTTTATGTTTTAAAATTTATTTCTGAATTTGTCATAAAATAAAATATTCCATCAAGCCTTTCACGACATGCATAATGAGAATTGGAACTGGGTGTGGGTGTGGAGTGTAGGTGTGGGTGTAGGTATAGATCAAGAGCAGAGGAAGACCCACACCCACACCGGCACCCTCCATACTTCAATCTTTCTATGTGTACTTTATAGTGGCATTATTGCTTTGCCCATTTCTCGTACAAAATAGAATAACCGTTACATCATTTTCCTTTCATTCTTCTTCTATATATACTTAGAAATGACTTTATTATTTTGTCCTTACCTCGAACATAATGTTATCCATAAAAAGAATAACCACAATGTTTCTTCATTCGTTATATTTGACTCTTTCCTCTCTTACATGTATTGTGTTAACCATAATTGTAACCTAACCTTTGCTTTTCTCTGCCTTTGCCCTTAAACACATATTTTTCTGTTATTGTGCTTACTGCATTATTCAAGGTCCGTCTACGCTAAGAAATAGTATATAAGGAGCGAAAATGATATAGCACGATACAATTTTACTTACACTAATAAAGTATTAGGATAATAGCTCTTGAGCTGTGCCTATTACACCCAAAATCGTCACAGATATTACCTGAAGTTAGCTGGATTTTATATAAAAATTCAAGTAAAATGCTACTGAAATCTAGACGAATCCAAATCGGGAATCGGAGCTGGACCTGATGTATCTCAAGTAGTGATTGATATTCAAGTGGAAAAAAGCGTATTTCCATATATTTCTATGTATAGGTAGGTATTTGGAAATACATCAATACACGGAAAATGCATTAGAAATGCCATAAAAATACTTGGAAATACAGAAATACGCTTTTCTCCTGGTTGATATCTAACTGTCTTCTTTTATGTATACCATAGCTCCAAACTATTAACATGAATAATCACCGAGAGAAACGCTTGCCGCCCTCGCCCCTCTCTCACCATCCCAAAATCTTTATATCAGCGTTGCGGCGTGCAGATGCAAAGTGCCCCCTGAAGAGCCGTGACTCATGTACATCTCTGTATACGCAGTAATCGAAAATAGTGGCATCATAATAGCATTAGTGTCGAGAAAAAGCTAATGCTTTTGCATTAGCAGTAATGCTTTAGATTAATATGTAGAAATTATAATAATTAGAGTTGATAGAAGCCAAGGTTTTTCATGTATAGTCGGGCTTGAATCAAGCATCTATTCGGAAATCAATACTTAAATTTTACACTAAAGTATATATCATAATAGGTCATAAAATGCATACAATGAATAAAATAGCAATCATTAAATCAGATACAGAACTGCATTTAAAGTGAGATGTAGGTGATTTAGCGATCAGATAAACTAAAGTAAAAGTAAAAGACACGAGAATTAAAAAAGCAAATTTATTTTTGATGTCCAAATACATCAGCAAGCTCGTGCCAATATTATTAGAGAAATAAATGTTAGACTTTCTGTTAATACACTGATGAGATGCTATGGGATCATAATAATACTTGCAGTCAATCATTAAATCAATTCGCAGAGTAAAATATAGCTATGTTAACATATGAAGTTTAGAATTGACTTTTTGTGCATCAATAAATTTCTAAATAACGACGCTCATAAATAATGTTTTAAATTTCTTACGATTCATGTTACAAAGCTATTTTCCTAAATTTTCTACTAAAATTTTGCAAACAAGGATTATTTTGTATAAGAAGACAGAGAAAATCGAATAAGGCTTGAAACATTAGATATTTCACACGACACTGCGCTATAACCAGTTAATCCAATGGTATTATTGGTGGTTGTAAAAAATTTAGAGTAATAAATATCATTATACATGTATATCGACGTTGATGTTCTTAGAATAGATTCGATGGAAGAAGAATTGATCCGTGGAGGATTTATAAGATGTTACAGGGCTGTGAATATCCTATCAAATGAAAGATGATTATGTCCCATATGCATCCTGGGGGAAAACATTAGTCCAGTAAGGAAGTATTTGATTTTAGGAAATTTGTATAATAAGCTATCAAGAAATAATATATCTGAAATAGATCAGACAGAATAATTATTCAGTAGTATGTGACATGATATTTAATAGGGGTATTTCTATGCAATTTGTCTACATATTAACTATTAGAAAGTTCCAAGTAAAAAAGAAAGAAGTAATCGAATAAGGATTCGAACCTAAGATATCTGAACTAAAAAGTCATCAATCTTACCACTGAGCCATCTGGTGTTGTTAGTTGTACAAGTTTTAGCATAATGATTGTGGATATCAATCAATCCTCTTATATAGAATATATCCGCTGTGGGATCGACTCATCTTAGGAAGCTAAATGCAACTGAATACCCATAGAGAGATATGTATCGTTAATAGATCCCCTGGCAAAAATGATTCACTAGGATTTTACTTGATCTTGATAGGTATTATAGAAGCCTTTGTTATAAAATAATACTGTTAGAATGAATCCCCTTGATAAAATCGATTCAAGAATAATTTACATTGCGATGTATATGGATTTATCTTATATAGAAGATCATTGTTCCACCTTCTACCACATGGATAAAATAACCCGGAACTTTTAAAAGACCTAATAAATCCCAAAAAAATAAGTCCCGGTAACCCCTCGGTTGACCATCTGAATTCCAAGACACCAATATATTTTTTCATAGCGAACTGTACAAAATTTATCACCAGCAAGATCTCCACAAATCCTGAAAGTTTCTTATTGCTGGGAGATACATTTGTATAATGTGGTACAAAGCTGGTGAAACCACCCAGTAGAAAATTATTTTACTACAAGTTCGTCGAAGAATAATTCCGCGTCAGTCTGACTTGAACGTAAGTCAGACTGATATGCAAATAATCTCTTTTCAAGTACTTATCACGTATTCAAGTACTTGAAACAAGTGTATATACTAGAGTATATTCTCCTTTTCATATTCTCATTCTTTTGATGACCTTGTGGAATGGCCTTAAACTTTCATCCAGAGAGATGTTTGCGCTCACTGTGATGGCAGCGCATAGGGCCAAATGAGTTCATGTGACCTTCGGGTTCGTAGACTTGGCTCTCGTTCATACGACTAGCTGGTTGCCATTGCCTGCTGCTAGAGTCTCTCTGGTCGCGTGTGCACGCATATCAATTTATTTTCTTAGCTGTAGTGGTACAGATCACGTTGATAAAAGTTCAAACTTTTGCACACGATAATTAAAGAAATCGACGACATAGAGATGACCGTTACGATCGAAGGAAATCCCTATGGGAATATGCAACTGATTCACATCGTCTCCTTCACCGTTACCACCGACCACGACACTACCTTCAGTGGCCCCTTGAGGCCAACGCATAATTCGATGGTTGTTCTCATCTGCCACATAGATAGTGCCCATCCCGTCGACGAGCACTCCTCTCGGATAGAACAATTGTATCACATCACTCCCCCAACCATTACCACCGGCCACCACTTGACCTTCTTCGGCGTCGTCAACCCACTTCATCACACGATGGTTGCTAGAATCGGACACATATACCGAATGATTTCTATCGACAAAGAGGCACGTCGGCTCGTTGAGTTGATCGAGACGATCATCTGTGCCATTTCTACCAGCCAGCAATATTTCTTGGGAGGCACCAACGTTTAAGCGCCGGACTTCGTGATTCTCGGTGTCAGAGACGTAGAGATATCCACGGTCGTCCATCGTCAAACCATAACAGCTGATGTTGGAGAGGAGGAGTTCTCCATGGGTGCCACTACGACGAGGCCAACGTACCACTCGGTTGTTGTCTCGATCGCAGATGATGACACTATCGGTCGATCGATCAACGATCACATCGATTGGTCGATATAACTGATCCAACTGATTCCCCGGTCCATTTCCTCCGGCCACCACTTGACCAGAGGTAGCACCCGCTGGCCAGGCCACAATACGGTGATTACCAAGATCAGCCACATAGACTGTTTGATTCTCATCCACATAGAGCCCATGTGGTCTGTTGAGCTGATTCAATTCTTCACCCACGTCATGACCACCTGCTACGGTGGTGCCATTCGGTGACCATAGCGCTTGTGGAGTGAGAGCGACATCGGTGCCTCGCATAGGTGTCTCTGAAATGAAGAAAACATGATTCTAGGAGATGTTCGCAAAGTAGAATTTCGATATTCCTATTGCTTTCTGGAGATATATCCATAGATTCAAAATTTATTAAGTATTCTGTCTCGCCTGAACCCCGTCGAACGGAAACTATTCAGGTAGGAGAGTGTATGGTGAGGGTCTTATGTTCACCCACACCCACACTATACTCACACCTTCAAAGCGCAAGCGATTGTTTCTAGCAGCAGATAGATGAAGAATAAATTCTCCTGTACTCGAATCTTACCCGCCGTCTCTGTTATTGTAGAAGTAACTGTCGAAGTGGTATCGGCTGTTGTTGTTTCGACAGTCGAAGTGGTATTGGCTGTTGTTGTTTCGACGGTCGAAGTGGTATTGGCTGTTGTTGTTTCGACGGTCGAAGTGGTATTGGCTGTTGTTGTTTCGACGGTCGAAGTGGTATTGGCTGTTGTTGTTTCGACAGTCGAAGTGGTATTGGTTGTTGTTGTTTCGACGGTCGAAGTGGTATTGGTTGTTGTTGCTTCGAGGGTCGAAGTGACAATCACCGTCGATGGTATGGCAGATGAGGTATTGGGCTCGGCAATAGTTGTGGACTGCGCTGTTGGTCTTGTTAGGAGAACGGTTGGAACAGTCACAACGATCGCCATAACCGCGATCAGAAGTAGAGCAAGAAGACCTATGCCTAGAGGACCTAGTTTTCTAAACTGACGATGATCTATAACGATAATGTTTTTTTACTTTGTTATACGAACTTGCCGGTCTTGACAGTCACCTCAGTAGAGTCATCAACATCAAATTTTTCGTATCTAAACGTTGGTGTTGGTACAGTGGCACTCTTGCTAGCTAATTCATCAGTCACTCTATCAGCCATGAATGTTAAATAATGATGTAGTTGATTAATCAATAAATATCAAATACAGGAGAGTATCGATCAATAATATGTAATGCGATATAGTTTCAAAGAATGCCTTTATCTAATGCAAGTTACGCGTACTGTAACTTGGCGAGATAAACAGCTCTCTACCTTTCTAGAGACCAAGAGTCAAGACTTCATCTTGAAAATGTTTTAGCCAATTCTGTCATAAACACGCGAATAAAATGAAATACTTCACTTCGTTATCAGATATAAAGAAAAAATACTCTTCACTGCTTCTTAATGCTTTTGTTTCTATCCGCAATTCAGACACTTATAACCTTTCTCATCCAAACTCATTTTTCCACCACCCCCGCAGGCAAGTAACGGCCAAGAAGCAGTTACAACGCATTTTGTGGGCCTTTTTATGTTTAAAAGTGTATTAAGTGTTTTCCATGCCATGCCTGTAATAAAAACAGTTTTTTTTCGTGTTAATATTCTATTTTAGTGACTTAGATGCATTTCGATGAGTTTTCTCACTGACTGTTGCAAGTGTGGGTGTGTACAAGCTGCCACGACCGTTTTCGACCTTGCTGAAGGGTCTCGTCAGATCGCTTAGTATCTGTAGACTGCCCATGTAAAAACTGAACGCAGAACAGATGCGTTCAGATGCGTTTATAAACGCGTTCTAATGCGGTTACACTTAACAACTCGGATACAACGCGCTCAGACGCGTTTCATAGATGCGTCTGAACGCGCTTGCATCGGTGATCGCGTTCAGACGCATCCGAAATCGAAACATGTTTACTTATTTTTTAGTAGAAAACGCGACTAAACCTGTTTAAAATTAATGATCATATGCAAGCACATCTGAAGTAGGAACGCGTTTGTTCGCTGTTACCTTCAAAACGCAGCTAGACGCGTTTCAAAAACCGCTTGCGTTCACATGCGTTTTCATTTAGGACGATTTCAAACGCGTTTAGTTACGTTTCGTAGCATGTTCTCGTCCAAACGCGTTGAAAGGCGTTCGTGAGTAGGCATTCTTGTGGGAACGCGTTTGGAATGCGTTTCAAAAAAAAGTAGAGATATTCTTTTTTGTTTATTGTAATTAAAAAATCTGAAACAAAAATTGAAATGGCTTGGATTTTTAAAAAGGAAACGTCTTTAGTTGGATCCAGGATGCTTTATCATAATCAAAAGTAGTAGATAACTAAACTTAGTTGTTTAGAATTTAATTAAGATGAAAATGTGACTGGTTAGATATTGATGGATGCAGAAATTTAACAGTTCGATTTAGATGGTAATTAGGGCTGTTTATTCACCTTAACTTTATTAAATAAAAAAAAGAAATTTTTCATTTTCGAAAAATAAATAAATAAATTTTTATCATTCAAGAAATAAAGCTAAAATAAAAAAATCCAGAAAGTTGTTTTCTTATGATAGATAGATCGAGAACTACTTAGGGGTATCCAAAAGTAGTGGCAACGACATTTTAGTACCACTTAGTAAGCTTGATAAAAGTTTCTTTTTACACAGGATGATAGAGAAAAAAAT